TAGGGAAAGCATAAAGGTTATTTAATATGCTTTCTTATTAGAATCAAAAATTCACCTGATTTAGAAATAACATGAACTCATAATTATTATAGGAAAAGGTCATATTCTGTTTTATTACAATGTTTTGGTGCCATCCTGTCCAGCTCCAGCAGTCATGTGGAAACAGTCTGACATGTCCCTTTAGCAACCCAGGTTTTTCCTCAGATGTTGGTCTCCATTAAAGGCAAAAGTAACTGGTGAGCAATGTATTCCATGTTTGAGAAAGAATAACTCAACCTGAGTTTTAGGTTACCTTAACTATTATCACAAAGAATGTTTTCAGCAGTTCCTTGTAGGGGGTGGTGTTAAAAAAGATGAAGGGATAGATCTGACAAGACGGCTACTCTAGGCACAAGTATTATAGAAACAATCTAAGTATCAATTGGAAATGATTACACACCCACCAAAAATACTAAGATAAAAAAGACAAACACAAATGTTGGAGAAAATGTGGAGTAACGGTAAGTCCCCATTGTTGAAGGCATGTAAAATGGTACAATCCTTTGGAAGAAAGGTCTGGCAGTTTTTTATGAAACTAAACATACACCTACCCTACGACCCAATGATTCCATCCTTAGATGTTTACTCAAGAGGAATAAAGACGTGTTCACAAAAAAATTTGTATAGGAATGTTCATAGCAGCTTTATTCATAACAGAAAAAAAAAAAAAAAAGGAAGTGGAAACAGCCAGGTGTCCATCAACAGGAAAACGGAAAAAAACAAACTGACATATTCATACAAGAGAATACTCAGCAATAAAAAGGAATGAACCACTGTTACAGGCAACATGAATTAATCTCAAAAACATGCTGAGTGAAAGAGGCATTATGCTGTGCATGATTTCATTTATATGAAGTTTTAGAATAGAAAAATTTAATCTGTGAGGCAAAATAATCAGAACAGTAGTTACATCTGAGAGTTGGGGTAGGGAAGGACTGGGAAGGGGCATGAGGAAACTTTCTGGCATGATTGCAATGTTCTAAATTTTGAAAAGGGTTTGGGTTACACAGGTGTATGGATTTGGGAAAAATTAGCAAATTTATACTTAACATTTGTGTATTATGCTGCATGTGAATGTACCTTAAAAATGAAAAAAATGAAACCATACTAAACCCTACTTAATGATATGCCTTTTGAAGTATTAGGGGGATATATACTGATGTCTGCAATTTATTTTGAAAAGCATAAAAATAACATGGATGGATAAGTAATAAAACATGAAGAATAAAATGTAGAATCCATGTGGTTGGTATTTGGGTATTTACTGTAAAATTCTCTCAATTTTGCTGTATGTTTGAAAATTTTTATAATAAAACGATTAGGAAAAGCCAGTTGGTCTTATCTTTCTATTATCTATCCTTGGCCTGAAATAAATTATTATTTCTATAGGACAGAGACTCTATAGAAACACAGGGACCGGAAATTATCCCTGCATAATCCCTGGGATTCTAAAAGGTAAGTCATACATGTAAACATTCTAAGAAAGGTAAGAAAACATATTAATTATTGAAAAGAAAGCCTAGTTACATTAAGAGTAATTACTAATACTGGTGTTTATTATCACCACAAACAAGATGAGAGTACCATTTTTTTGTACCTTTTTAAAAACTGACTTTTTTCAGCCATTGAATGAAGAGCCATCTTTTTTTTTTTTTTGCGGTACTCGGGCCTCTCACTGCTGTGGCCTCTCCCGCTGCAGAGCACAGGCTCTGGACGCGCAGGTTCAGCGGCCATGGCCCATGGGCCCAGCCGCTCCGCGGCACGAACCCGTGTCCCCTGCATTGGCAGGCGGACTCTCAACCACTGCGCCACTAGGGAAGCCCAAGAGCCATCTTTTATGTCAAGTTATATATATGAATAGGCCAATTGTGTCTCATCCAAACTTTGTCCAAAATTCGGATATCCAATCATTTTTTAAAAAGACTTTTAAGCATTTTCGTATATACCCAATGTTATCATTGTTAATATACTACATATGGGATAAAATAACATCCTTTGCCTTTTGAGAGCTTTAGAGGAAATCTGGCATAAGTTTCTGTCAAACAAATCTGAATGTGTTTCCCATCTCTGCACTTATTAGTTGTAGGCCCTTGGGCAAATTAACTTCTGTAAGCCGCACTTTCCTCATTTTACAAATGAGGAAGAAAAATGGTAGTTCATACCTCATATGGTTATTTTGAATATTAAGTGAGACAATTCATTTTACATGTATCACAGTGATTGGCAGATAGAAAGCACTCAATAAATACGCTATCATTAAGAAAAAAGTGTGTACAAGAAACATTTAATTGATGGCAAAATGTGGAAGAAAACCTTAGTTTGTTTAAATAGAACAGTATCATCTCCTCACAAGGTAGTTCAAATAGCAACTACAATAGGATTTGTTTTGTTTTCTCTCTGAGTTGCGAGAAGTGTTTTAGAAAGTCAAAGAATAATAATCTTGCTGCACTGATATTGTGAGAATTCAGACTCTTAGATCAAAGAGAGAAATGCAGAAATATACCTCTCATCAGCTTAATATCTGGACCATCTAAAAGAAGCTACCCTGTTTCACCCAATCTTGCATTAAACATTCAGAAATGTCACCCATAATGTTTTATGCCTGTCACTAGCACCTGTTAAGTAGGCTGGCACATAGTTAAAGCCTCTAAAATAGTCAGATAGAGAGGAGGGTTAAGGAGGGGCAGGAGGATCTAAACTACCACTTCCCTCTGCCCTCAGGAGAACAGCAGTCTCATGTCTGGCAGGCAGCGGAATGAGCAGTTGCATGCCACTGTGTGGAGCTGGGAAGCCAATAATTTTGGGGGAAGCATGCTCTATTGTTTCCTGCTATGTCTGTTACCTGTGCATTTATCACATTCTTTGCTATCTTCTTTATCTTTTTTTTTTTTTTTTTTTTTTTTTGCGGTACGCAGGCCTCTCACTGTTGTGGCCTCTCCCGTTGCAGAGCACAGGCTCCGGACGCGCAGGCTCAGCGGCCATGGCTCACGGGCCCAGCCGCTCCGTGGCATGTGGGATCTTCCTGGACTGGGGCATGAACCCGTGTCCCCTGCATCAGCAGGCGGACTCTCAACCACTGCACCACCAGGGAAGCCCCTTCTTTATATTTTGGCACCCTTTTTATTAACCTTCTTGTTAACAATCATGCAGTCCACATTCCCACATGGTGTTACAACTGGCTGAAACTAAGCAGTAGCAGCTTAATTAACTAAGCAGTAGTAGCTTGTCCCTTTAGTTGGGGCATAGCTCTCCTATTTGTTACACTGTCCACAACTCCCTATTGTCTTTCACACTAGGTGCATTTCCTGCCTGGCCCATATGGCATGTGGATCCAGGTCTAGTTTGATTTGGGCAGCAATGAGACAATAGGCGTTTCTTAGTGCTCAGTTCCTGTCTTGACTGGAAGTATTCCACCCAACCCTGCCCCCACCAAAAAAGCAGCCAAGAATCTCAGATAGTTCTCAGATGCCTTTCTGAACAATGAGTTACTTCATAAAAAGAAGGCAATGACTTAGAGAAAGGTGAACTCAACAAGCCTGTTTTTTAAAAAAATCTGACAGGATTGAAGTCTTAAGACATCCTTTTCTGAAACACTTTTGGAAATGGAGAGCAGGCTTTCTGCCTTTACATAGCACTGCATCTGCTTTGAAACCCACCATACTGGTTTCTTTTCTTTTCTCTGATATTTATCTATTTCCTCTTATCGAACCTGTTTCAAGGTATAAATTCACTGGGCAGGACTATTTAGATATAACTCATGTCTAGTTGGAAGTCTGGGGCAACATCTAGCACATCATAACTATTCAGCTATTCATAACTGTGCTTTGTAATCACAATCATGTCTCCAAAATACTCTGACTTCAAATATTATATTAAATAGTACTATTAAATATGCATAAAACGAGAATGGATTTTTCAACTAGTAGATATAAAAGTATTAGAATTTAATATATGAAGATAGTTTTATCATCTTGCTCATGAGGTAATCACTTTACTTTCCCAAGTGGTTATTATACGTAAGTGCAGATTCAGAAAGATTTATTTTTAGCCAACATATAAATATTTTCCCTTATTCTAAAATGTTAGCAATCTTCTTTTCTATTGCACAAAAGACAGTTTTAGGTTTGTTCCCTTTATTTTTTTTTAATTTATGGACTCTGCTACTAATTTCTAGACTTTTGGAATAGCTAACGCCTTTCTCTCACCAGCCCTGTTGATCATAATTAGGCTGAAATTTATCTGCAAACTTCAAGGGCAGAACAAGGCAGAATTCTCATTGTTCTTAACATGGATCAGGCCAAAACTGAAGGAAAAACTGGAGGATTTTGTTGTAAATCATCCAAGCTAAAATCCCATATTTTAATTTTAAATTTGAATCAGCAATGATTTTTACTGCTGTCTCCTCCCCTTCTATTTTTACTAGTTATTCTTTTGAGCCTGAATCAGAGAAATGTGCTAAACATGTGTATTGCAAGCAACTGGATTTTTCAAACAGGAACCACAAAGAAACATTTTCCTCCCTTTACTTGGGTTGCTTTAATTTAACATTCTGAAGAATGATTATCTGAGTTCAAGGATCATATTTTGATCAGTTTTAATAAAGAAGAAGAAATACTCATCTCACAGCTAAGATAGAGCCAAAACCTTTTTCTAGCTGCCAGTCAGTTTCCAAGCTAGTAAGAACTCCTGGGACTTTATCTACTCTTCTACAGGGAGCAGAGCTGGTACAACCCAGGATACCTTTATCTTATTGCCTAGGTATGAAAATATTGCCTAAGCAGAATTGGAAGACTCACCAAATAAATAGAAGAGTGAAATGAATACAACATTCTTAGATGTATTAACAGCTAAACAGCCTACATATGAGAAAAAAAAATTCACTTACAGTTTGCTTGAAATCTTTTACATTAGCCTAAGAGAAACACAAAAAACCAATGGGAACATCAAACCAAGAGAATAAAACCATGGAAGAAAAGATTATTGGGGAAATATAGCCAATTCCTGATACTATATACAAACACAAAACATATATACATATACATTTTTTTTAAACTGTGATGACACATTTTTGGCTCAAAGTATTCTTTCATATTATAGATCTCATTTTCCATCCTTAAACAAAGTTTGGGTGAGAGGATACAGGATTTCTTGATTTCTTTCTGTATCTTTCTTTTTATCTCTCCCCCTTAGTTTTACCAATCAAAATCCCAGGCCATCCTTTAACAACCACGTTAAACACCTACTCATCAATGACCCTCTCCCAATAATTAGAATTAACCTCTTTCTCTGCTCTTCAATGTTTTATATTTGCATCACCACCCGCCTAAAAACTGCAAAATGTTAGACTTCTTGGGATGTCATTGTAAAAAATCTCTACATAAAATGAAGTACTCACCACCTTGTATGGCAAGAGTTTAAAAAAGAAGTCACAGTCATCTGAAGTCAACACAAGACCTTTTCCGGAAAATACTGGAGACTATGCTACGCAGATAATAAAAAGGAGGACTGGACATGGCTGCTGGGATGTTTGGCTAGAAGTCTCAGAAGTTACATTTCAAAATTTAAAATTATTGCAATCTTTTTTACAACTTCTGTTTGTGGTTTCTTCTTCTTCCCCAGGGTCACATACCATCTGGTAAACATAGCAGCTGAAGACCCTGCTGGGTTTCTGTTCTATGTGTAGTACCAAGTCTCTGTCAAAGTAAACTTCGTGGCTATATGTCTGTAACGAAAACAAAGGCAAATGGAATCTCCTCTTCACATAATCATATTCACTACTGGGTCATTAAAATGTCACAGCGTCTATGCTAGGGATGTTCAAATATACAGTTGGAGGCAAAATAGCTGCCAGAAATAGTTTATTTTTCATTATTTGTGGATATGCAGACAACTTATGAGAAAAGCATTACACAAAATGTTGAGAATGAAAAGAACCCTGGACTTAGGAGTCTGAACACCCAGATTCTATTGCCAACATTGCCACTATTTCACTTGTGACCGTGGGCAAGTTGCTAAATCTCTCAGGTTCTCCACTGATAAAACAATGATTGGGTAAAGTAACATCTACTGTTCTTTATAACTTTTATATTCTATAATACTTAGAAGAGCAGACAAACGCTTCCAAGAGTGCTTGAAAACCCTACACGCTTAGATTTGTCTCTATTAAATAACTGTGGGGATTTGATACACTATATTTTTATTTTTTAAAACATTACCAAACTTATAAAATAGGAGAAAACTAGACTATGGTAAGGAAATAGACAGCATGTCTCATGAAGAAAGCATAAAACTTTATCTTTAAAGCCATTGGTAAGGAGGCATCCTCTACTCCCTAGAGGAGAAAGTCTGAAGAAGTACTCATTTTGTCCTGCATGTAGGATGATAACCTCTTCCATGTGGTCACTGATATAGGTGAACCTGGACTGACGTGAACACAGTAACATCTGTTCCAATAAATGTCACCTGTAAAGGAAACTCTTATAACTTTGTATTCCATGGACTCTACTCACCACATCCCATGACTCCACGAGTGGAATGCTTTTAAGTAAAGTTCCATATTCATTACAGTGGAAATCCAGGTGAGCTTTTCCTTCAGCATCTATTTGAGTAACAGCTACCACAGAAAGCAAATCTAACTCATCTTCATAGTCCACAATTTTGAAAGTCTTGGGGAATAGATAAGGCAAAAGAAAAGAGGGGCAAAATCCAGTTAGGATTATTTCTACATTTGTGGCTTAACTACTATTAATACAAATATGTAGAAAAAAAATGAATGGGTGGGAGCATAGATAGAAATGTGTTTCCACTTATCTGCCTAGTAAAATATCAGTCTCAAGATTTTTAAGACTCAAGAAGTATCCTACAGATTTTGATGAACACAATCAAGTCTATGTAGATCTCAGCCAAAGTATAACTGAAATTCTCTATTATGACAGCAAGCCAGAGTGTCTCCAAATTTGAAAGAGGTATTCAAATGCTGACACTGATAGGTGTGTTCACTGGTTTCCAGATAGGACTAAATATATAAAACTCAGTTCTGAAACTTGAAGACTTCCCACTGTGCTCGGAAGGTTCTCATACCAGAAAAACACAAGTCATTTCAAGAAGAACTGATAGCCCATCATACACTATTTATGACCCTATTTGCCATCCTTTTTTTAAAAAACCCTTTCTTGGAGAATTCCCTGGTGGTCCAGTGGTTAGGACTACACGCTTTCCATCCCTGGTCGGGGAACTAAGATCCTGCAAGCCACGTGGTGCAGAAAAAAATAACCATTTTGGTTCCCCAAAGAAAGCAAAAATGGCTGCTTATACTTGAGGGAGAATATTAGGAACAGAAATCCAACCTAAAGAACAGGACTGGGATAAGAGACGTTAGTTAGAAATGATTAATGATGGTAAAGACATTAAGAGAGAAAAATCTAACCCCAGAACTCTGCCTCAAGGAAGAAAACCTGGGACTCCAACAGTCTCATGGGGAAGCATATCTATGCTCACCCATCCAGGGATGGCACATCTTGACAGGCACAGCAAGTTTCTCTTAATCACCAGATACTAAACCTTCACTCACATTTGGTCAAACTGCTTTTTAATCCATGTACATTTTCTGCCTTTACCACCTATGACATAAAAATTTACGTAGATTTATTACCAGTGATTCCTTTTAATTTATTTTTGCCTTAATCTTACCTTGGGAACTTCAAAAGGTGACTTCTTGCCTGAGTGTCAGTAATTTTATAGATTTTAGTCACAACCCCTTTCAACTTTTCCTTTACAGGTGAAAAGTTTTTGTTTTCTAATCTCACAATGCAGAGTATCTTTCTCTTTGCTACTACCTTCTCCCTTCTTAAGTATTCTTGCCACCTTTTGGTAACTTTGGTATGTTTTTCTTGAATACAGTTTTACATACAGGGTAGGAAGCTTTCTGCTTTGTTCTCGATGGTTCAAAAGAATAAATACATATTTGGTTCAAAAGAATATATATATTTTCTTTTTTGAGAGTAGCCAGCATACTGTGCCACCTCCAACCTATTTTAAAAGATTTTCAAAAACTATCCTTAGGGCTTCTCTGGTGGCGCAGTGGTTGAGAGTCTGCCTGCCAATGCAGGGGACACGGGTTTGTGCCCTGGTCTGGGAAGATCCCACATGCCACAGAGCGGCTAGGCCTGTGAGCCACAGCCACTGAGCCTGCACGTCCGGAGCCTGTGCTCCGCAACGGGAGAGGCCACAACAGTGCGAGGCCCGCGTATTGCCAAAAAAAAAAAAAAAAAAACTATCCTTAGAGGGCTACTCAATATTTCTACCTAGAAATGGTCATATGAACTATATAGTCATAGAGTCTAAAGGGATTCAGTATTTACGCAAAGGCTATATATTTGAAGCATGAACACTTTGAGTTGATTTCATAAGTAATTCCAGTGCTTTTTTTTTTTTTAAAGAAAAGGATAAAAATCTATTAGCTTAGTGACTGGCAATGTCAAGTTGAGGTCAAAGGCTGAACTGATTTACCACACCCTTATACCCTCCTCCTCTGGCTCATGAACATTAACAAATACATCTATGTCTAGTAAGTGAAAAACAAGGCAAAAGCCATAGTCATCAAGATATAACTCAATAATTTTCTATTAAGAGATTTCCCTAGGAAATGTGCATATCAACAAAACAATAAGTTAATAATAGTGTTTTCAAATTATTTCAGTCCTATGAAATCTTCTGCAAACAAAATCTTAAGAATAATTCCAATATTAAGAGAGGAGACAGAGACGCATCGGTTCAAACAGCACACACAATCCCACAGAGTAAGGTTGCATGGAGCTCCCCAACCTCTACCCCAGGGCAAGTTCATACAAGCTTAGTTTATTATTTCTGGCTAAAGTAATACCTCTTGTTCTGGGTCATCATCCAGAAGGTTAAAGCTTTTTTTTACCACCCGTCCAGAAGCTGTAACAGTGGGTAAGTTTTCATTCTATCATATGGAGAGAAATAAAAATATATGACAAGTCCTATTACATAGTCAATGGCAAAACTGTATTAACGAATTTTGGATCCTCCAATTAATAAAAATACTTTATTATAGTAAAGTTTTTAATGGATAAGATACCAAAATAGAAATACAAAGGTTACAGATTTGTTACTTCACCTGCCCTTCTGATTTTTGCCTTAGTATAGTACAGCAAATAAAGAGTCGATCTGCTTTTGGAAATTTCCCTCTGCATGATTTTCTTCAGGCTCTTAATTTGTATGCTAAAGACAAAGAACTGTTTGGAGTTAAAGAATGGTGTGTAATTTTTTAAACTTTATATCTAACCTTTCTTACCCTAAGTTTGCACAATTAATTAAACCCAAAGGTTGATAATGCATCAATAAAAACTTAAAGAGAAACCCAGAAAGGAAACAGAAATAAGCAAAAGATAAAGTCAATATAATCAACTCTCTTCAAATCTCATAGATATTATACATGGGGCTAAGACTAACTACCCATGTAGACAAAATGAACAGACTTTTATAGAACTGTGCTTTTCTTTTCTGCCACACTAAAAGATAAATACATTTGCATATTATATTCCTATATAGAAAGACAGTGATATACAAAGGATTTTAAAGTACTCCTGACTTACTTTGTTCTTCTCCCTGTCGGCCAAAATGACAAAATCTTCAGAGATCTGATGCTGGGCGCTATTATTTTCTACTTCACTTAGCTTTAAAACTCTGGAAAGGTAAAAAGGATTCTAAGAACCTAAGACCTTAACACACCATCAAAATGTCAAAGTTGAACTACTGAAAAGAAACTTAACAAATGAAAATTACAGTAACAACACCGAGTTAGTTCTCTTCTCCTCCTGATTAGTCCAAAATATTAATGTCTGATAACTTAAGTGTCCATACATTTCTTCAAATTTAGAGATTCTGTTAAACAGAAAAACAGGATATGTGACAACAGGTGCTACTGAAGTAGGTAATGCAGCAGCTTGCTGAGGCTTACACTATCTTCCAAACTGGCTTAATGAAAGTTACTCTAAAGAACCTCCTCTCTACCATCCTGCAGCAGGTCTTCAACATTTCAGCTTTAACAATGGCATTATAGTAGATATTTACATTTTTATTTCTGAAGATAGAATGAGGTATCAATGAACAACACTCAGAGTTAAATATAATATAGACTGGATTAGCAACTAAGTTCTAAACCGAGAGTTTTCATAGTAGAGTAATATTTTAAAACTGCAAATGACTTAATACTTTTCTTTTTTCTTAAGGTTATATTTAAAGATTTGAGTTTTCTGAGTGTAAATGACCTCACGGATCAAGCTTATTAAGCAAGTGAAAGTAAAAGAATTTTCTCACCACCTACACAAATCTGTTCACAGCATTAACAAGCATCAAAAGCACAATGTCCTCAAAGCTTAAAGTCTCAAATGCAGGCAAAGAGAACAGCAGGGAGAAGCAGCCAATGTGGCCAGAGAGAGCTGGAGGCCTTAGAGTTTGCCAGAGACAAAGAAATCAGATTACATTTTAAATTCCTTAATTAGTTATCTTAATTAGTGCCAATATTTAAGAGTGCCTATCTTTTAAAACCTAGCAAAAGGGCACACACTCTTTGTGGACCTTATTTTCTTAAACTCAAACTAATATAAAAGATGTGTGGTAACAAACATTAAGAGTAAGGTTTATTAAAGCTGACCATACTTTTTATGACTTTTTATAAAAATTCATAATCTTTTTTCATTAAGTCCCTTCATCCTCCTTATAAGTGATCCAGAGTAGACTAATTATCATGAAGCATACAAAATAAAGAATGCAGACACTACTCCTCTTATTCAACAAATACTTACTGAGCACCTACTCTGTATTAAGACCTATGCTCAGTGCCAGGGTTACAGGCGTCAACAAGATAGACTCTTTCC